CGCGATTGCTTGTAGAAGCTCACGCACGGTCATAGGGGAAATGTTTTTGCAAGACCTCCAAAAATGGTTATCTCCGCCTGATCCATCGACGAATTACAAGCTTGGGTTACGTTCTTACCACAAGGGCACTTCGACGTGGTTTATAGAAGGCAACATCTTTCAGGAATGGGACTCGACTGGATCCTTATTGTGGATCCACGGCAAACGTACGTGCTTCCATGGTAGCTTTTACTTGTCCTCATAGCCCCTGCCTTCGTAGCGGGTTCGGGGAAGAGCATCCTCTGGTTCGCTTGTTCTATCCTCTCACATTATACCGGCAGCTTAACGTCCTTGAGCAGCTCTGCGATCATCCAGCGTATCCTATCACAGTCCAATGGCGGAGCGGCCTCGGTGGCATATTTTTACTTTGATTTCAGAGATGAAAACAAGAAGCATCTCCACAACCTCCTGCCTTCTTTACTCTTCCAGTTTGCGGCGCAGTCGATTCCTTGTCACGGCCTAATTTCCCGTCTTTATTCAGCACATGGGAGAGGCTCGCGGCAACCCAGTGACGAAGATTTGGTGGATTGTCTAAAGGACATGCTCTCAGCCTCACCCCAACACCCTATGTACATTGTCATGGACGCTGTTGATGAATGTCCCGATTCATCTGGCGTGAGATCTCCCCGGGCACAGGTCCTCGGCTTTGTTCGAGAGCTTGTTGAGCTACGTCTTGGAAATCTACACGTTTGCATCACAAGCCGGCCGGAGATCGACATCCGCAACCGTCTTGAACCTTTATCGTCTCTTCGACTCTCCCTTCACGATCAAACTGGACACCAGGAAGATATCGCTAAATATATTAGGTCTGAGGTCGATTTTATTGCCAATGACAAAAGATGGCGGGAGGATGACAAGGAGCTCGTCATTTATACGCTCTCCGAGAAAGCTGATGGCATGTAAGGTTTTGCGTTTTCTTCCTCATGAGTCCTCTCATAATTCAGGATACAGGTTTCGATGGGTGTTCTGTCAGCTGGAGATGCTGAGACTTTGCCTCCAATCGACGGTTCGGCAGTTTGTCAATGAACTACCCGACAGCTTGGACGAGACCTACGAGCGCATCCTGAAGGGGATCCCTAAAACCAATCAGGGTCATGTCCAGCGCTTGCTCCAGTGCCTGGTTGTGGCGATCCGACCCCTTTATGTTGAGGAGCTTGCGCAGATCCTTAGGTTTGACCCAGACAGAATTGAAGGAGAAGTTGCGATGTTGGATGCGGATTCGCAGTCGGAGGATCAAGAACAAGAGTTGCTCTCCGCATGTCCTAGTTTGATCACAATCGTCGACAACCACGATTCGCGTGTCGTCCAATTTTCCCATTTTTCGGTCAAAGAATTCCTCACGTCGGGTCGTCTTTCCACCTCGAGCGAAGACATCTCACGCTATCACATTCTCCACGACGTTGCACACACGGCCATTGCCCAGGCATCCCTTGGAGTTCTCCTCCGTTTGGACGATCGCGTCGACAGCTGGGACGTCCCTCTCGCCGAGTATGCTGCCGAGCACTGGGTCTCTCACGTTCAGGTCGCGAACACCTCGTCGCGCGTTATGCGTATGATGGAGACACTCTTCGACTCGGACAAGCTACATTTTGCAGTGTGGGTTCGGAGATATGATATTGACAAACCAAATTGGGACCCGTTCAAGGATACTGGGAAACCATTATATTATGCGGCACTTTGTGGATTTTACAACCTCGTTGAACACATTGCCAAGAAACACCCAGGGGACGTAAACGCTCTTGGCGGCCAACACGACTATCCGCTGGTCGCGGCACTGCACCAAGAACATATCCAAGTCGCAAATCTCTTACTTCAGCACGGCGCGGAAGTTGGCAGACGAGGAAAGTATGGACAGACTCCTCTGCACCACGCAATCAGACGGTTCAGCGATACGGTGTTCGTCACGGTGCAGTTTCTGCTCGAACATGGCGCGGATGTAAATGCCCAGAGGCAGAACCTCGTGGCACCACTACACCTGGCGGCAGCTTGGGGGAACGACGAGGTACAGAGCTCAGATCCTACTTCACGTGGAGTGGGTATTGATTAAGGCGTTCTTGGCAGTTTCTTTTCGACCTAGCTCCAAAACTCACTCATACCAACCTCGTTCAACTGTTACTGGAGTCTGGTGCGAATGTGCACGTGGAGGACAGGGAGTTCCAGACCCCATTGCACCGAGTGTTTCAAGGCGCCTTTATCTCTGAAGAGGTTTCCGGTGTCGTACAGCTTTTGATGGAGCATGGCGCAGGCGTAAACAAACGAGACGAGGATGGTCGAACCCCTCTTCACATATCATCTTACCGTCAGCATTTCGAGTCGGTACAAGTGCTCCTAGGCCACGGTGCGAATGTCAACATGGAGGACGACAAGGGCAGGACTCCATTTCACGGAATTTTTGAAAGCAACTTTGTCTCCGAAGCTGGCTTCGCTGTTGTACAGCTGTTGGTGGAGCATGGCGCGGAGGTGAACACATGCGACAAGAATCACGAGAGCCCATTGCACTTGGCATCATACCGTCAGCACCTCAAGTTGGTACAGGTACTCCTCGACCTTGGCGCGAATGTCAATGCGGAGGACAGTCAGGGTCGAACCCCATTCCAATGGGTGTTTAAAGACGGCTATTTGACCGAGGATGGTTTCCGTGTTGTACAGTTATTGATAGAGTCTGGCGCAGACGTGAACACACGAAAAAAGAATCATCAAACCCCATTACACGTGGCATCCTACCATCGGCATCTCAAGCCAGTACAGCTGCTTCTCGACCTTGGCTCGAACGTCAATGCAGAGGACAGCGAGGGCCATACCCCATTACACCAAGTGTTTTCATCGAGAGAATCTTATGAACATCAAGATTATTGTGCTGTTGCACAGCTTTTGGTGGAGCGTGGTGCAGACACCAACACGCGATGCCAGGACCGTCAAACCCCATTGCACTTCGCATCATACCGTCAGAAGCTCGAGTTGGTACGGGTACTCCTCGATCATGGCGCGAATGTCGATGCGGAGGACAGCCAGGGCCGGACCCCATTGTACCAAATGATTGAAGACAGCCCACTCTCCGAAGATGGTTTCTGTGTTGTGCAGTTGCTGGTGGAGCGTGGTGCAGACGTGAACACACGAAACAATGATCATCTGACCCCATTACACTTGGCATCATACCGTCAGCATCTCGAGTTGGTACAGGTGCTCCTCGACCTTGGCGCGAATGTCAATGTGGAGGACAGCCAAGGCCAGACACCATTGCATTTGCACCTAGCATTTCAAATTGATCATCCCCCTGGGCCAGAGTACCATCCCGAAGACTATGTCATTCCAGAGCTCTTAATGAAGCATGGTGCAGACGTAAATGCCCGAGACGAGGACCACGAAACCCCCTTACATATAGTAGCATCGCGCCTTGGGATGTTCGAAGCGGCGTGGGTTCTTCTCAAGCATGGTGCAGATCTAAATGTGGAGAACATAGAGGGGAAAACCCCATTCCAGCTCGCACAGGAGAGTATAAGGGAGGAGATGGGAGGAGCGGCATCACAATCCTTTGACAGGATCAAGCGAACAAAACGCGTAGTATTGATGGGTCTGCTCTACGAATGCTAGTATCGGGTCAGTACCAACGGAAGTGTTTTTTCATGTGCAAACTCTTTGCTCCCGACAGAACACGCTCCAAGTCATCCTTTTCTGCTCCTGAAATTTCAGCAGGTAGTGGCTTGGTTAGTGGGCTATTGTCTTCTCGGGCCTCTCTACTCGTGACTAAGGTTTCCGCTGACATTTAGAACTACTGTCTACTTCAACTATTCTCGAGGGAAGCACTGGCAATAGCGGCGCGAATCTGGGACTCCTAAATGGACTCATGTTCACGCATTACTGTAGCCCGCACCTATATCTCCTCAATTGCTTCGTTCAATTTGTATGTTATATGTACTCTTACCTCAGGCCGTGCCCACATGTATGCACTAAGTTCGCCGTAATAATTTAGTTTCTTACGGTTGTACAGCCATAGCAGCCCATCCCGTTGCTCTCGAAAGTTACCTGGTATGTTTCTTCGTATGTCGCGTTATTTTTCTCCAGTAGTTCGATCGGATTTCGTTTCTGCCAGTGACCTTTTTGATTCACCACTAGAAGATCCGTAATTTCTGCTGACTTTCGAAGTCTGCGATACTTGAAGCATGAAGCTTGAAGCGTAAGCCCCCCGGCGCCGCGGCCCGGAGTGAGACGAGGATCACGTTTCGACTCCAGTGAGACAAAGCGAACGAGTAGTTAGCCCAGAGCTTGATTCCATACCCCGAATGAGATGCGCGCTGCACGGGTGTGCGCGAGCGATCAGCAGATAATCATTTGTACTATCTGGGATCGAGAAGGGAAAAAAAAGGGAATGGGGAGGCGCCGGGGACTCGGAGAGGCCACGAAGCACGTTAGCTGTCTCAATGTTTGCGGTGAATGATTCGTGGTGCTCATCGTTGGATAGAAGGCTCACGTCAGGCACGTCTGTTTGAGGAAAGGTGAGGGGAACAAGAGGGGAACAAGCAAACTACACGATACGAGCCAAAAGAAAAATAGGAGTCGCGCCGACAATCAAGGATGCATGGAGTATCTATCCAGCTCTCCATTTCGACTATGCGCGAGCTCTGGCCGGAGATCTCACTAGAAAGTCGGTTCCTATCTATGAACAGGACTGCCAGGCGCTGTGAAACCTCGCGGCATGGTGACGGGTTCTAGATCTCATGAGGTTAACATTAACTGAAGACTCAGAAGAGAAGTATCATCAAGTACTTAGTTGCGTGACATTCCAGGCCGAGATGAGGAGGTCTCTAGATTCTCCAGGGCTAGCTGGCTAGTACGCACGGAAGAGGAAGAATGACGGAGGATATCAAAGAGGTGTCATTTACCAAGACGCATGGAAGCGCCAGTTCGTGTTGAGTGAGACGCGTCAACTTATAGTAATTTCACTTGAGAGCAAATGTGTGTGCTCCCGTTTAGCTCAGTTGGTAGAGCGCGTCACTAGTAGCGCGACCAAGTAGTCACATTCTTTCCCGTAACGGAGAATGTGACTACTTGCTGATATGCAGCGCATGACGAGGTCAGTCGTTCGAGTCGGCTAATGGGAAACTTTTTTCCCTCGTCTCCCTTCCGACTGCACTAAATGTGTTTTCTGACCTCCAATACGATAACATTTGGATTACTGTAACCATCAACTACTGATACACAACAAAACCACCATACCAAATAGAGGTGGTATGATACAAAGGAAACTGAGGGGTGATAAAAAAGCGAGTGGGGAGCAGGTGGAGTGGGGCGAAGATAAATGATACAGAGATACAAATACAAAAAGATGCCTGATTGTCCGCAGTACATTTATCCTGTGGGTCAGCCGGCAAACCCATGGCGAAAGTCCGTTTTGTCCGTTGAGTTAGTGTGCACACACGCAACCAAAAACTAATGTCCGTTTGCGTTGCCGAAAGCTCTACAACTTAAGTTAAACTCTCAGTTCTCAAACAGTCCTTACTGGCACGATATCTTCAAGCGGGGGGCGTTGCTTCAGATGAAGTGCACAATCCAGACATCTGCACCGTTTGCGGCGCGCTGGAGCCCGGCAAATGTCGTGCGTCCGCCAAGGAGATCACACCGGCGCAGGCCAGCCGGGTCTGGCGCGACGGCGTTGCGCCTGCTGAAGCTTGCCGATGCCGCGCGTCTGTGACTATCGCTTGGCAGATGGTTGAAATCGGCTTGTCCAGCGCGTTCAGACAGTTTCGCGTTGAGGGCGTAGAGGACTTCGCGCACACTCAGGGCGCCGGAGCTGCCGGCAGGGGACGACGCATAGAACGCGCCTCCCGAGACGCCCGGGATCTCAAGGACGAGGCACGCCGCGCGCGTTGAGATGGCCGGCTCGTTCAGCATGTTCGGGTTGCAGGACGGGTGGAGGCACGCCGCAGACGGGGGTTGCACAACGTTATAGTTCAATTTGGCTGGCCGGTGGCCCGTGTAGACCAGTAGCTCATGCAATACAGCAGCGTACCTGGAACGCTCAGGGCTTACAGGCGGCGTGGGCAGCGCGTCTAGATGGAAAAAAGGTCAGATATGCGGAGAGCAGGGATGGGGTGGGATGGGATGAGTGCGCACGTTGGAGCCCGGGTAGTGGGACCGTGTTCATGTGTGGCGCGCCTGGGGTCGTGGGGAACTGAGACGCATAAGCGTACTGCGTCCCGGCCGACCTGCTGGCGGACCCAGGTGGGGACGGCAGACCCACGGGGATCAAGACGGGAGTCACGGGAGATGCGCCGCTGCCGCCCGAGACGGAAGTCCCAGTGAGCGTGTTGAGAGACCATGCAGGGCTCGACGCATAGGATGACGCGTGGTGTTTCGACGAGCGGGAAGACATAATGGTCCGAGTCAAGGTGAGTCAGAAAAAGTGGAGGAGACGGATTTAAGGGCGGGAGAAAGGATACGAGAGAAATGTCCGGGGGCGGCTCGATGAGATGTGGCTCCCGACTGCGTCGTGCACTTATATAGCGGCGCCGCGCATGTTGATTGACGAACACAAAGCGCAACAACCCGTTACGGAAGGCCGACGCGGCGCGGCGGAGGGCGGAGGGGAGAGGGGAGAGGGCGGAGGGTAGTGGGCGGGAAGGCGGGGCTAATCAACCAACAAGGGGGCGCGTGTCATGGAGTTGGAGTCGTACTTTGATGGTGGGAAGCCGCCCGACGTCGGGATATACCCAAATACGGCATGTGGCGCGCTTGGCGATATTGTTTTTCCTAGCCTAGTATCCAAATTTAGAAATTCGCGCCCCCTTCCCCTTGATGCCAAACGCGCAGCCGATATCATGTGGTACCATGGTGATCTAGACCAGTCTCGGCCACAACAGTTTGCGCACAAGTCCGAAGCGCGTCTCCTGCGGGGGACAATGGTTTATTTGGGCTTGCGAGGTGCGCAAACAGCGCTACGTGGGTTCCAGGAGGCACCTCGGGGTCATGCCAAAGGGTCAGATCTGGTCAGACTTAGTCATGCGGTATCGTGGTGGGTTGGGAGTCCTGGACCTGAAGGCGGTGATGGGCGCTAAATAAGTTACTTCCGAGCTGGTCGCTGGCAGACCCGCAGCACGGCAGAACTACGGACGTTGATAACGCTGCGCATCCCGACACTAGTGTACTGCCGCGGCCAATGCTCGAAAGTGCTGTAATAGTTTCGGAGTCAGTGTGTGTCCCATAATTTAATTACTACTAGTTAATAGTATGTGGCCCTGTACTTTTATGACTGTGCGATAACAATGTAGACCCGGAACCCCGATCAAAGAATAAACAGGCAAACCCTCGGCCCTTAGCGTAACTGCCTCAGCCGCTTCATCTCCTGCTTCAAGACCTGTACCCACTCGCTCGTTTCCTCCTTCTCAGGCTCCAGTACTTCCTCGGCTATACGTCGACGTCCTCGCGCACGCGCACCACCACCGCCACGGCCAATATCACCTTCAAACCTGACGCCAGACGCTTCCTGCGCGAGGTACTTCACCTCCGCAAACGAGTTAGTCGCCTGCGCACGAAGCCACGCGGCATTGTCCGCGCGATGGCGCATACAGTCCGGGGGGTTGTATCCGACAAGCGGGTCCCACGTAGTCTCAACGGGCTCCTCCTCCATCGGACGGCCATCCGCCCAGAGCGATCCGCCGGCCGTGAGTGGGAGGGTCTGCTCGATGGTAAGGGACTCGCCAGGCGGGATAGGCTCTGGATGTGAGGGCGTGACGCAGGGCATATCTGTCTCTTTGCGGAGTACGCTGTCGACGTCGACGGCTGAGAAGAACGCTACGCCTTGCGGGAGGTCGTCCATGCCGAGGCGGTACGCAAATAGACTGCGCGTCCATAGGTTCGCAACTTGCAGCGCTAGCGCCGCGCGATAGCGGTCGCGTTCCGCGACGAGGTAGCGCAGCTCGTCGTGCACGGAGATCAGGTACCGTGCTTCGATGGCGTATTGTTCGATCAGGTGCTCCATTGCGACGATCAATAGGTGCAGGTAGTCCACACCGGAGGACTGCACGACCCAGTTGATGCGCGAGGTCATGTAGTCTGCGCCGAAGGCGGCGGGAGGTACTTTTTGGAGAGCGCGTGTGTGATGCCGCAGCCGAGCGCGGGCGTCGTCGGGTGCTCAGAGAGCGCGATCTCCTCGAGCTTGTTAAACACGAAACTTTCCGTGCCACCGAACCAAAACTTGCGCCCGAATATGTCAGTCCGGTGCGTGTTTTTGCCCTTGGTCGACGCGTATAGCTGCTCTGCCAGACGCTGCGCCTGCTCCGGTAGCATGTCTGCGTTCGCCTGGAGCAGCAGTTGCACCGCGTGCCGCATCCCCGCGCCATAGATGCGCGAGTAATTGAACACCTTGGCCTGATCGCGTGAGAGCCCCAAGATCTTCGCGGTCTTGGAGTGCAGGTCCGTTCCCGCAGCCTTGGTGCCTTCGAGCGTCATCCACCCGAGGGCAGTCGCGCCATGCAGGCCAAACTGCGCGTCGCCCATCGCGCTCGAGATCCACAGCTCCTCCGAGTCGACGTCTGCGCCGACGATCGCGTATCCCGGCGGCGCGCGCACCATCGCCTTGAGCTCCGAGCCGACACGGTTCACCTTTGCGTTGCTCGCCGTCAGCCAGGTGCGCTCGATCGCGCGTCGCGTCACTGTGCCCATCGTGATCACCTGCGGGAGGATGATGCCTGCTTTGCTGCCCGGCGCGTCGCCGATGCTCAGACCCATGTCAAGCCCTGCATGCTGCCACACGACCATCTGCTTCAGTACGCGGTCACGAGCGCTGATCCAGTAACTGCACTGCGCGTTCATGTCCAGTGCGCTGCGCGCCTCGTCACCAGGACTCGTGAGCGTCCCATCCTGCGCATACTTGATGAAGGTCTTGGCCAGCGGGCTGCCGACGTTGGCTGATTCGCCGTCCTTATGAGGCAACTTGTAGAACACGAAGCCCTCGTGCAGCACGAGCGCCTGCAGCACCTCGTCCGCTGGGTGATGGAAGTCCAGTGGCTTCTGACGCGTCTTGAATGCGGTGCCAGGAGATACGCGGTACATCCATCCATGTTCGCGGGAATGAAAGAGAGGCCAATCCTGCCAGGACAAGCGAAGCAAGAGCGGCGCGATACGCGTGCGGGGCGTGAGGTCGACAGTTCCAGGCGAAAAATCCTTCCTCGGCCGTGCCAGGTCCCAATACCACTTGGGCCACAGCAATTTCGGTGGCTTAGAAGCCTTCTGCTTGGGCGAATCCGTTGGCATGTGCTGCACTGGCGTCCAGTCAAGCTGTCTCAGCCAAGGATCGTCCGGTGTAGGGGACTTGGCGAGTTCTTTAGCGAGTCGGAGGATGCGTTGAGACACCTTCTCTGAATGGTCTCCACTGGTGACAGAGAGAGCCAGCTTGTCTTCGCTGGCCACCATCTGGCCAGTCTGGAGCATGATGAGGCCATTCTTTTTCCCAAGAAGGCTGAGAACCTTTGACTTTCCAGGCGCGGGCGGGCGAAAAATTTGGCCATCGACTACAAAGTGCCATTTGTCCGACGTAGAGTACTGGGGACAATGGCCATCGAAAGAGAGTTTGAAGAGAAGAGGGAGGATGCGATTGATAATTTTTGAGCTGAAGGGGCCAAGAGACAGTAGTTCGCTATACCATGCAGGGACCAACACTTTGTCGTTAGTAGCAGCGACCTAGGTGATTGTAAGTACGCCTCGACAATGAAGGGTGAGTAGGGGAAAGACCCACAGCTTCCGAAACACCAATACCCCTCGTCTTTCCGGCAACCTTTGGCGTCCAGTCCAACTGCCGCAGCCAGACGTCGTCCTTCCAGCTTTCATTCTCCATCATTTCCTTGGCCTCTACCGCGAGATCCACGAGCCGCTTTTTCACGCCCTCTTCCAAGTTCCGATACGTGCGCTCAGCATTCTCCAAGTACCTCTCCCACTCCTCGTTCACCGGAAGGAAGCTCGAGCTCATCGTCAGTATTCCGGAAAAGGACACCGGTGTGGGGCACGACTCGAGGAACTCGGGAAGGACCTTGGCGTACACGCGATGTGTGACAGACACGTCGTTGGCACAGTAATTGAGGTAGTCCTGCAAGCCCTCACGGATCTC